TAGTGTAAGTAAAAAAAATTAAAATTAATATTTTTCTTTTCTCTATATAGTGGCACGACTCTGCAAGTATCCTTATTTGGGGATATGACTACCAACGAAAGATTAATTTTTAAGAACACGATAAAAGATAATAATGTAATAGTACTGTCAGATTTCAAGATCTTTAAATATGAAGGTTACATATTTTACAACTAAAATTCTTATTAAAGGCCACTAAATATAAAATTCATCTTATACATGTCTCAAATTTGTATGAAAGATATGCATGTCATCGTAAATTATGTTAATAATATATCAATTTGTATGAAAGATATGCATGTCATCGTAAATTATGTTAATAATATATCAACTTATTGAAGAAATAAGAAATAGATAAGCAAACCAAGCAGACATCCATATAACACAATAAAGAAAAAATATTACACTTGAAAGCTAATATGCATGGCTCATTTAGAACAAGCTGCTAAAACAAAAGCATCACCATCAAGGCTCTTTATAAATACAACACAAATTAAAATTATTTAATATTTTTAAAAATAGCTTAATTTTTTTTAGTAAAATCAGGTATCTTTAGAAGTGATTTTCATGAACTCTTTTAAATTTTTATATGGTTATGTGGATACTTTTATCATATAAAAGTGTAATAGAGTTAGCAATAATCTTTATATATTTTATGATTTTTTTCTAAAGTCTATCAGTGATTAGCAACAAAATTTATATTCTGTTTAGTTTCATTCTAGCCCACTTTTAATTAATAATCTTGTCTTATTGGCTTTAATTATTCATCCTTCTTTTATAACATTATCTTTTCAAGTGTTTTTCACTTTCACAATATTATGCCTTCTTAAGTCAAGCTTGGTTTCATGCTGATCTAAATAACGCGAAAATTCAAATTGGCTTTAGATTATAGTTATTTATTGTCAATTCAATTATTACATAACAATTTTAAATTTGTTGTAGCCCATTCAAACAAACATTAAAAAAATAATCAGAATAGTAAAGTTTGAAAACATAAGTGAGAAAAACAATCAAAGTGGAACTGAGAAACAAATTTTAGTAAAGAAACAATCAAAGTGGAACTGAGAAACAAATTTTAGTAAAGAAATAAGTCAAAAATACTTAATCATAATATTTAATCACGTGAAGAAATAAGTCAAAAATACTTAATCATAATATTTAATCACGTGCATTGCACGTGCATAAATCCTAGTTATATATTAAAAACATGAATGTGAAAAACTAGTTACGCAACTTTGATGGACGCCCATGCTATGAACACTAACCTCCACCTTGACGATGTGATCTTGGACCGCTAAGGCCTCGTTTGGTACGTGGGAATGTGGTGGAATAGAATGATCATTCTCATTTCTCATTTCTCATTTCTCATTTCTTCCTATCAAACACATCTTTCTTTTTTGAAGTTGGAATGCCCATTCTCACTTATCATCAATTCTCACTTTATTTGGGAATGAGCATTCCCAATAAAATGATAGGGAATGAACATTTCCACTTAAATAAGAATCAATGAAATATACAGTTTTAAAATACGTCTATTCCCACTTTATTTTATAAATTACACTCAAACGTGAGAATGAGAATGACTATTCTATTCTCACATTAATTTCATTCCATTCTTTTTTCCATTCCATTCTTATTTGAGTCCAGTCCCGCGTACCAGACGAGGCGTAAGTGTTGTGAATTGTGGAGGCCCTTCAGCTAACGTACGCCATTTCAGATTGATAGATTGGGGAATGCTATATTCATTTCTACGAGGCGTGCATTGCTCTGAATTCGAAGGTTCTTTATTTCATTCTTATCAGCTACGAGGCTGATAAAATTGTAGGTATTAGTTGTTAGACGCATAACTGAGTGTTTTGGGAGAATATTTTATGTGTAAAGATATCGTTGATTTATGAAAAATCTCGCACTTTTATCCCTTCTCGCAACGAGTGCTTTTTATACAGTCATTAATATTGACGCCAATTGCGTATAGTCATACCCTTATATCATTTTTTGTTAACTCTGATATGTTCATGCGTATTAGTCTTATTTCGGACCGGTTATTAGGATATTTGGTGAATTATCATACGCTAAATGAAATTGTTATGTTGAATGAGTTATTATTTATTAATAATTTTTAAGCCATTGCTAATGCTTCTTTTCGCACTGGTACGTATCGTATCACGCACGCATCATGTACACTGAGAGTACTAGTCTTAAATAAAGAAAACCCTAAGGGGGGTTATTCATTGGTGTAATTTGGGGGATAATGAGATAATTTGTGGAACATCAGTGTTTGGTGTTATTGGTTGGGGTAATTGGGTATGGATTCAAGTTTTCAGTGTTATTGGTTTGTTGGGGGTAATTGGGGACAAATACTCCACTTTACCCTAAATTACACTAACTATATATACATTCCTCAACCCCCAAGCCCGAAATTACCCCATTTCGCTTCCTGGAACAAAAGAGGGGAACAAATTACCCCATTCCGTTCTCGAGCTCGATCCAGAAAAAATTCACCGTCGTCGTTCTCATGGTCGTTCACCCGCTCCGCCGTCGCCGTCCTCGAGCTCGAGAGCCCGCCCCACCGTCGCGCCCGAAAAAACGGATCGGTTAACCGAACCGAATTAAATGGATGATAAGAAGTCTCTAAACCGCCCGAACCGAATTAAATCGGTTTGGATCCGGTTTGAACCCCTGAACCGCCCAAAAAAAACCGACCCGAATTCTGTTGGGCGGTTTAGAGACTAAACTTATACCTCAAAACTTTTTCTGTTATCATCCAATAAATTCAAACGGCGCAAGGAGCAGTTTTAAGCAACGAGTACAACAATATCACTGAAAAATATCCTTGAGAACTAAGTAAAGATTCAAATCAATCCAAAAAATTTGTTATGCACATGATGCACTTATAAAAGATGCATACGCTACATTATATGAACAATATCATACAAAACATCACTCCCCCGTGTAATTAAATAAACTTAAACTTTAGTTAAAAAATTTCGCAGAAAAAATCTTGAGAATTACATAAGATTCAAATCAATCACAAAATATGTTATGTACATGATATTTACAAGAGATAAGCATGCTGTATTATATGAACAACATCTTTAAAACATCAGTTCTCTGCGTAATTATATAGAGATAAGCATGCTGTATTATATGAACAACATCTTTAAAACATCAGTTCTCTGCGTAATTATATCAACTCAAAACTTTATTCTAAAGATGATAACCAGTCTAATAAAGCTTTGTTGGCGAGCTCAGGAACCTTATCATAAGGACAATGCCCAGCTTGCAAATTCACAACATAAGTCTTTGGATAGAACTCTTTGCAAATTCAAAACCGAAATCGAACCGAACCGAACCGAATTTCGGTTGGGCCGAATATTCGGATGAAGGGGAAAAAATCTGGATCTGGATGAGAGTTTTGAGAATCCGAAAAATTCGGATTGGATGCGGATTGGGCATAAAACCGAACCGAACCGAATATGCCCAGCCCTTGAGTCAGCTAAAATTGGCTATTTATGCCTCAAATGGCTTTAAATCGCGTAGAATTTGTCCGAGTAAAAAGTCAATTGGTGGGGTTGATGATATTGCTTCCAGTTGTCAGTTAATTTGTCCGTCATTTTCTTTTTCTATTTATGCATCAATTTTGTAGAAAGTTTTAGCAACATTTGATTTGAAGTTTAAGGGAGATTAAGTAGTATGTAATTTGTAAAAGTGCATTTTTTTTAAAAAAAATTCCCCATTTTTAAAGTGCTGCCTAAATGAGAAGTAAGTTATCTTGTATCTGAGAAATTCTTGGCTAATTATCATCCTGATGTTTAATCTTGTATTTTTGTGTGAACTCTTCAGCCTAGTAGTTAACTTAATGCTGGTTATGGATGTATCAAATGGATTATGGGTGATTTAACGTCCTACCTTCTATCTGGGAAAAAAATATATATCATATAAGTTGTTTAGATGGCTTACTCATCTGTTGCTTGGAGCATGCAAGACTTTATCATCATCATTGTAATAGATGTGTGAATGATTAAATATTTATTGCAATTAAAAAATTTGTTAATATAGTATAATAGTTAAAATAAACATCAAAATATTTAAAGATTGATTAATATTGATATTATTAATATTATTATATTGTTTTTAATATTTTATATTAAAATAATCTTAAAAAATAATATTATTGTATATTATAACTATTATTTATTTAATCATTTGATGGTATATCAAGTTAAACTTGAATTTAATTGAGCTATAAATATAATATTATAAAAAGATGTCATACTAATTGTCCCACTCAAATTTTCCCATTATCCCATTTTACCTCATTTTATCCCAATCAAATTATCCTATTAGGCAAAATTACCCCGTTAGAACAATTTACCCCAATTTACCCCAAATTACCCCCAATGAATAACCCCCCTAAATAAGCCGCCTATAGTCATAGGGAAGTGATGTCTCACGGGAAAGTGTTAAAAAGAAGGGAGATAAATACCCTAATTCCCGGTCCCGGACCTCAAAAGTATTAAGTAGATTATGGTTATTTATTTCTTTTATCAATTTTCTTTTATTTTCGCTTGCTCGCCAGGAAATGAACACTTTTAGGCTTTGGGCCAGGACTAAACCTAAACCTCTATATCCAACCTTTTCACCAAAAAAATCTTGGCCCGGTAAAATCCAGCTTCCCATAGAGCGGGAGGACGCGCCTCCTCCGTTCTCCTCATTCGGCCCTCAATGTCACTCCATCTCAAGCCGTGCCATGTCACGTGACCCACTTCCGCCCCTCTCCACCGTCGCATCTCCAGACGACGCGCGTCGCCGCCCTCTCATTGTCCGGCTTCCCTGGCTCCAATCCCAATGTTGCCCCTCTCTCTGCTCCCTCAAAATTTAAAGATTCTGGGGGTTTTTCTCCGTAAATTTGTTGCTTTTGGCAGTTTAGGAGGCGGCGTACAGCGGAATCGGTGATGATCGTGCGCGACGGGGGTCGAGCGGCCGCCGTCGGAAGGGTTCGCGCGGAGACCTCTGCCGGTCGCTAGGACGCTCGCTTCCGTCGTCGACTGCCTCATCTCTCATCCAAATGTATTTGCTTCCCTGCTCTCTTATCTTTCCATTACCTGGTGGCTTTGTTCTTTTTAAACGGTGTTTTCGTCTTTGTGCGTTCGGATGTCAGGCACGTGCAGTGCCCGTTATCATATGCCAGGAACTATGGGCAAAATTTGTGCCTGGCTTTCTTCCAAATTTAGATAATTTAGACTTTAGCTGCCGTGTATATGTGATTTGTCCCCCCTTTTTTCGCTCTTAACTCCGAATGGAGACTGAAAAGAGAAGTTAAAATAGTTTAGAACAAGTGTAGTTAGCAACTTTTCACATAATCATTGGATACTTTCCAGAAAAGAAATTATCTTATATACAACAAAAAAGTATGTCCATCTTCAGTTCCAAAGTTTAATATGTTCCAAACATTTGAGAACAAAGCCAATTTAACATGAATCGATGCGCTACCATCAGTCCATTGTATTCATTGTAGGCGTCAAAAAATGCTGAGAGATATCCAAACACAACTCAAAAGGAAGTCATCCAAAATGTCAAAAAGAACACAAGTATAAGTCTGTCTCGCACGCGAGACAGTCTTTACTGTCTCGCACGCGAGACAGACTTGACTGTCTCGCCGTGCGAGACAGTCTTTACTGTCTCGCGGGCGAGACAAGGAAATTTATTGTCTGCGCTACTGGTGGACAGCTCTGTTTCTGCAGGGTCAAAACTACTTTGCATAACCGCCAAACAACGTGGCACTAAACTGTTCAGAACGTGGGAAATGTCGTGGGCGAGAATCACGTTGATAACTGCCAAAATAACGGAGTTTGAAACGTGGGAAGGCAGTTACAGCGAAAACTGCCAGGATATTCCTTTTCGCGAGACAGTGTTTACTGTCGTCGCGGCCGAGACAGCAAACACTGTCTGCGCCCGCCGAGACAGCAAACACTGTCTCGGCAGCGCCGAGACAGCAAATTGCCTGTCTGCGCGAGCTTGTTTTTCCGCCAACTGTTCTCTAGGGGTTATAAATACCCCGAAGGCCATTTTTAGAGAGAGGCCTGATCATTTTGAGGGGACAACTTACAGAGCAGAGTTCCTGAGCTTCCGGCAATTCCTTGAGATTCGAGCTTTGACTTGATCTTAAGAAGAACGACTATCTTACTTTGATAAGATATCGTTTCAAATTCTCACTTCGATAAACGAAGGAAGAATCATTAAACCCCTCACGATTCAATCAGAATCTGTGATTTGGTGGTTCACGAGTCAAAGCGCTCCCGGCACAGGCAAAGATCCCACGCAAGCAGCGATCCAAACAACGATCCTGCGTTTGTTTCTCAAGAGTTGTAATTTTTTCCTTTTGTTGTGTAAAAAGAGTCTTATAAAAAGGCTATCTTTTTTTTTTGAATTTATTGTAATCGACCGAAGATATAATGAATTCCATGACAAAGTCAACTTTTGACGCAAACAAGCTGACGACCACAGTGGGAGCCAACGGTCTCGCTGCCGAGACCGTCGTGTCGTAGCCAACCATCAAGATCCCGGTTGAATCAACGGTCGCGTACGAGTTCGATCAAGCGAAGTTTGAGGAGTATTTGTCATCCCCATCTGTAAAGTCTTCCTCGCCTTGCAAATGCAGGAAGATTTCATCTTTGTTGAAGTTGTCAAACACTACAGATGAAGACTCTCGCTTAATTGTTGCTGAGGATTCTACTCGCAACCTCTCTGCTCATAATGACTCTTCTCCAATTAAGGAGTTATTAAATCAAAGCCCGCCGGCATTGACGAAAAGAGCTCGTCAGAGACAACGCCAACGCCGCGCTCGCCAAGTGGCTAAGACCTTGGAACAACCCGACGGAGTTCGTTATCATGCAGACTTAGAGTCGAGGAGACATCGAGTGGTTCAGTTGTCTCAACGACCAATCACTTATGTCTCTGCTAAACTCACGACGGAGGAATGGATTATTGTCAAAAGGACTCGTTCGACCCTTAAAGAACGTATACAAAAACGTCGTGCAAACGCTGCTTATGCCCGTGCTCTCTTACAATAAAGACGAGAAAGGATGAAGGAAACGGTGGTCAAAGAACCACCGAAACTCTGTCAAGTTTGGATTCCAAAGTCTGAAGTTGTGAAAAATCAGCATTCGGAGCCCGTTAGGACTCCACACCCGCAAGGGGGTGGTTCTAAACGTATGACTCTTGACATAACCTTGGGTCGCTCAGAGACGACGACAAGTCATTCTGGGTATGTTAATAAGGTTCAAACACAAAAACAGAAGATAGGTTGCTCTGTTCACCATGCTGACGAGTTGTACTATCAAACTAAAGGTGGAAACAAATCACATAAAAGGACTGTTCGAGAAACGAATCGTCATTGTGTATGTGAAAAACTTATCAAAGCAGTGTTGTCCAAATGTGACTGCTTTAAAGCCATTCCGCCGAAAGTTTCTGTGTTCCAGAGACTTTCTACTGAAATGTCGAAGCCTAAGCCGAGACATTTCCGCAAGAGAAAATCAGCTGCCAAAGATGATGAATTCCCCGAGGTCACCATCAACGTGGCTGATAAAAGAAAGTCTAAGCAGCATTCAAGTGACTCAAATCCCGATTTTTCCCCGAGAGAAAAAGTCAATCCAAGAATTGCTCAAAGTATGTCTCGACTCCAATTAGGAGCCATCAGACGCAGAGATTACAAGAGAATGCAAGAAGAAATGTCCTCGGAGGATGAGCTCTCGGACACTTGTTCTGCGATCGCTTCGGATGATACATCATCTAGCATAAGGCAAACCAGAGAAGTACTCACAATCACCTCTGATCAATTCACTCAAATGCTTCAAGAAGCTCTAGCCAAACAACGTGAAGAAATTAGAGCTGAGATGAAGACAGAGATGGAGTTAGCTATCCAACAAATGAGAGAATTGCTAGCTCAACCTCCTCAACCTTCTGAGTCCAGTCAGCGAGCTGAATCCAGTCGCCACACTCAGAATGTTGTAGATGACAGTGATCCAGAAATGGATGAAGTCATTATAGCTGATACACCTCCCAATAGCAATAACGCTGGGGTGGTCTAACGGATTCTCCTAATAACGAGATTGGGGGTGGTTCAATAGTACCTCTCACAGGGGGTGCTCTAACTCATTCTCCTCAACGTCCTTCGAATGAAGACATAGACGATAAAGGGAAAATAAAAGAGCTCGAAAACAAAATCAACGCTTTGATGACGGCTCAAGAAGTGAAGAAGACGGGTATTCCATGTCCCTATCCAAGAGAATGGGATTCAATACCGTATCCGGCAAAGTTCAATCTGATTAACTTCACACCGTTTGAGGGGAAGAGCTCGCCTATTCAGCACTTGATTTATTTCAAGTCTCATTTGGGCATGATCTCTGGAAACGAGGCTTTAATGGTTCGGTCATTCGTTGGCACCCTTCGTGGGCCCGCCTTTGATTGGTACCCACGTCTCAAGCCAGGGAGCATCAATTGCTGGAATGACATGGAAAGTTTGTTCCTCGGTAATTTCTTCGATGATGACACCGAAATGTCAATCGGAACCCTTTTAGATGAGAAGCAAAAAGACAGAGAGTCAATCGATAATTTTGTCAAGCGCTTCCGTGGTAAAGCAATAAATTGCAGAGATCCTATTACAGAGGAGTTCATCCTGCAAACATGCCACAATAACCTCTCCATCGATGTCCTGGAAGCTCTGGGGGTCATACCATCCACCACTTGGAAAGAGTTAAAACTACGTGGTGAACAAGCTGAACACTTTCTTAAAAGAAAGAAAGCTGAGAAAAACCAACCGACGACATCTACAATCGCTGTGAACGCGACTCTCGATCCGAGGTTCTAAAAGGAGTATTCTTTCCAAGATGATGAAGCTCCAGCCATATTGGAATACCTCCTCGCCAATGATAAAATCGAGCTACCGCCTATTAAAGATCAGGATGGTGCTAAGATGATTACAGATCCAAACTACTGTGCATACCACAGAAGGATTCTTCATCCCACCAATATTTGCTTTGGACTCAAAAACAAGATCCAAGCCCTAATTGACTCCGGCGTCATAACGGCGAAAGAAGTCGAGTAAAGACGACCATAATACTCCATCGGATACACGAGTTTAAACTGTTTTCCCTAACTCCATTGGGTACACGAGTATAAACTGTTTTCCCTGACTCCGATAAGTATACGAGTATAAACTGCTTCTCCATCTCACTCCGAAGAGTATACGAGTATAAACTGCTTCTCAACACTCCAAAGAGTATACGAGTATAAATTGCTCCTCGATACTCCAACAGGTATATGAGTCTAAACTATTTCCTTTCTTTCACGGGAAGTTCCTAGAGAATGCCATGCATTGTACTTTTAAGGATAACCCGATCATACAGCTAAACATAATGATAAACCCAGTTTCGCAAGAAAAGCTGGGGGTGGATGGTTCATGTAACGAAAGTTCCTAAAAGAATACTATATGTAATTTTCTTAGGAATAACCCTATCATTACAAACAAAGTGTTAAACACTACATCCCCACGGTGATTTTCGAATACTCTTTTGCTGAGATGAGGTTCGATCACTTCATTGGATCAATCCTCCCTCACAAATTGAACGATCAAACCTTTAAACAGTTAGGATCGTCTCAAATTCCCATCTTGGTCAAACCTTTAAACAGTTAGGACCAAAGCCAAAATCCCCTCTCGATTCGTTCCATGAACGAGAGGTCCACAAATTGAACGATCAAACCTTTAAACAGTTAGGATCGTCTCAAATTCCCATCTTGGTCAAACCTTTAAACAGTTAGGACCAAAGCCAAAATCCCCTCTCGATTCGTTCCATGAACGAGAGGTCCACAAATTGAACGATCAAACCTTTAAACAGTTAGGATCGTATCAAATTCCCATCTTGGTCAAACCTTTAAACAGTTAGGACCAAAACCAAAATCCCCTCTCGATTCGTTCCATGAACGAGAGGTCCTCAAATTGAACGATCAAACCTTTAAACAGTTAGGATCGTCTCAAATTCCCATCTTGGTCAAACCTTTAAACAGTTAGG